CCCTACCACCTCTAGAATCTGCTCCAACTCATCAGATCTCTGTCTCTAGCAGCTGGGTTGACCATGTGCAGTCTTTTTTGTTGTTGTTGTCATTGTGGGAAAAAAAAAAAGCAGGAAAAATACCCATTTTGCTAACTGCCAGTAAAGGGCTTTGTCTTGCACCTGAACTTATAAAGGGTGAGATTTATTGGTCTCTTTGTCTGAGGAGAAAGAGTGGGTCTGATTATCAGATTGCACACCAGAGACAAGTGCTTATGTAATCAACAAACTGTCTTGGTGTCAGAATACGATTGTGCTGGAGATAAACTGAAGGGAGAAAGCACTGGATGCTGAAATGCTATTGGCACGGAGTGTCCTGGGCTGCTTCGTGTAGTTGCCAGTGTTTATGAGGAAGCCAGCTCGTTTCTGGACAAAGCCCTTGTGCGGGAGGGGATCTCAGTAACCAGCCATGTTATCAGTCAGGGTCAAAAGCTCCTCGCCTTGTGGTTTCTGAGTCTGGAGAAGCGGGAGTTAATCTGTAATCCCTCAGTGAAAGGAGCCACAGAGCACACATTAATTCTTCCTCTCACCTCTCCTGCTTTAAGTGGTTAAGGTCTCTGAGCTCTGTTTAGCCTGTGAGCCCTGGTTCTCAGCTTAATAAATACTTGGCTTTGCTCTAGTACCTTTCATTGTGAGGCTGTGAAAGCTTTTTACAAACATATATTAACCCAAGTGGGAATGGGCTTAAAGAGCAGCATGAAAGATTTAGGTTAGGCATAAGGTATAACTTCCCAGGACTTATTTTATTATATTGTCTCTCTTCTTCACAGTTCGTGGTACAAGTCTTATAGGATGTCAGTATCAGGTACAGGGACTGACTTTTAAGATTTCATCCCCTTTTCATCCAGCGCCTTGGCAGAGCTGATAAGATGTGGTCCATTGTTGGAGGCATTAATGCAGGGGAGTGAGGCCTGCCCCTGAAAGGATCTCCAGCCCCTGTGTCTCTGGGGGTTGAGTTCAAGTCCTTCAGCTGTAAGCCGTAAGTCATGTCCTGCTGGACATGGTGGTCTGGGAAGCATGGAGGGGGAGGGAGCTGAGCTCACTAGGCTCCTCCCAGGCTGAAGATTCTGGGATTGCTGAGCCCTGGAGAGGAGTGTGAGAGAGCCCCAGGATCCGGGAGGCTCCCACCTTCACCACACCCCAGGGTGGGAAGAGGTGGGCCTAGTCTGTGGTGAGAGACCCTGCAGAGCAGCGCTCTGGTTTTTCTTTTCGGTGTAGTGATTTTCCTGGGGCCCAGGGAAGGTGCTTGTGCACCTTGTACACAAGTGCTGACCTAAGTCCCATCTCCACGGAGGGAGGGTTCTTGGCAAGGGTGCCATTGGTTTCCTGTGTAAGCGAGACTTTCTGGAACCCCTTCAGTGTTCATCTGTGTGACCCTTGGTGGGAGCCAAGAGAAGGAGTAGACCTAACCTTGCCCCAGGAAACTCAGACTGGACATGAGACTGTACACAGACCCTGGGGCTTTCCGAGAAGAATGGCTGTGGGCCCTCTTTTCCAGGATAGTCCTGACCCAAAGCCCCAGCTCCAGGCTTGGGGATGTGACTCGGCCCTGGGAGAACTGAGCAGCAGAGAAGCTGGGCGAGAAAGGGCAGTGGTAGGTGCATGGGTGCCAGCCAGTCATCTGGCTATTGGACCTGGAGTTGGCAACAGGCCTACTCTGGACTCCGGCCCCTGCTTGAGACAAAACGCAGGGCCCTTTCTGCTCAGTGTGTGGGTCGGGAAGGCCAACAGGCTCTGGGTGCTGGCTGGACTGGGCCAGGACAGGGCTGCCAAGAAGAACGCAGATTCCACAAGGTCAGGGTTTCCACGCTTTTCTTCACTGCTGGATCCCCGCTTCCTAGAATGGGGCCCAGCCTCTCCAGGAGTAGATGTTGACTAAATAAAAGGAGGAGTCTTAGCACTCCAAGATGAAAGCTACAGACCCTGGGCTCTTCCCCATCCCCACCCCCAGCCCTCAGGGGACCGACCACCTTTTCTTCTCTTTGGCTCAGGCCCTCCCTCTGCTGGGCAGTTCTTTGGTCTCCCAAGCAAGGAAAGGGTGTGGAGGTGCCAGCCGGGTGGGCATGCTGTGGGTTAAAGCCTCGCAAAACAACAGTACTAGTTAATCTTTCTAATTTATTTTCCTTTTAGACCATGGGAAGTCTGTAGGCAGCAGCTGTTACCCAATTAAAATACAGATTAATATAAAAACAGTTTCTGGAATATAAAATAGAGTGGCTGTGTCCTTACACTTCCTTAAAATACCACCTAATAATGACTTGATGAACTACAGAAACCCACCTAGAGGAACTCAGCGTTCTTAAAATGAAAATTTCTTCCCTAAAAGGTGTGTATTACCATTCCATGTAAGTCGCTATGAGAAAATAACCTTCCCTCTTAGAGCCAGCGGTTTCTGTGAGTTGGGTATTTGGTATTCATTAAACGTAATTATAGTTTAATTGGAGTTTAATCCCCACCCCGCCCCGCACTTAAAAAAGAAAAAGTTTCCAAGCAGGCCTGAGATGCTACTCTGTTTGGAAGTGGCTTGGGGCATGTTGGCCACCGTGATTTCCAGCTGGGCCCACATCTGTGCAGGGGGCCTCCGGCCACAAGCCTTCCAGGCAGCCTATCTAGTCTACACTTGAGGGATATTTTCCATTTCAAAACAAAACAAAGCAACAAGCTGGTTTGAACCTAGGCCTGACCTGGGTGGAGCGGAAGCCCTTGAGTCAGAAATTCTCTAGACTAGGTTCGTAGGCTTTTTTGTCTGCTAAAGGTGCCTGTTTCCTGCTTGGCTAGCCGGTATTGAGGGCCCAGGTATGCGGGGTGAAGGGTGGATGCCTGGGGGGCTCCCCCGGCCCATTGCTGGTTTCAGAGGGGGAAGTGCTGGACACCGGCACTCAGAGAAGGGGTGGACTTGGAACCAAGTGTCCTGGTCCCATGTGAGCATTCCCCGAGTTCTGCAGGAACTTCTGAGAAGCTTGGAGGTGAATTCACTGTAATCTGGGGGGAGTTTTTGAGCCTATAGAATTCAGAAGACACATAAAATCAAATTTTCTGCAAAATGAAAGCTGAAACAGGTCTGAGACCCACCCCGTGGTCGGTATGTGGATGTGTACCCCCATCTTGGGGCAGGAAGTTATGGGGAAACTTGATTCCCAAGGCTTCTGTCAGGTTCGGAGCCTACAGCTGTGCAGGTCAGTCTTTTACGGTAGAAGGAGAAAAACAGAAAGGAAAGGATCCAGTCCAGCTTTGAGTCCCTGCGCCCTGGTTTTCCACCCATCGGCTATTTCTCTTTTCTTTCAGCTCACCGGGATTATTCAAGCCATGGTGGATGGTCAGCCAAGCCTGCAGCAAGTGCTGGAGGTAGGTTGAGTGACCTTTAATTCCTGACCTCTGACCCCTCTTGCTGCCTTCCACGCCTTCCTCTACCTCCCCTCGTGAGAACGTAGCCGTGTAATTTGACTATGATTATGGCTTGATTAGAATAACATTTGCTGTCACATCAGTGACATGCTGTTGAGAGTATTGAACCATTGATCTGTCATCTCCAGCTGTTCCCGTCAGATGTCCAAGTGCCACCGGGGGTTGGTGGAGGTCTCTCCAGCTCCCGGCCTGTGGCTGTGCTGGCTGGCGGCTCCGGCGGCTCGGGCAGCTGCGCTGGGCGGCTGGGAGTAGGGGAGCCAAGCTGCAGCACTGCGGGCTGGCCCCGGGGACTGGAGGTGTTTTTGTTTAGCTTTAGTGTTGGCTTCCTGTGGCATGTGAGCACTTCATTAACTCACGCAGAACTCCCCATCGATGGCTTTTGTTTGCTGTCAGCTCCTCCAGGAGGTGCGGCCGGCCCGCCTGCCCCACTGCAGCTTGCCGCTGGATGCATCGTGCCTGTCAGGGGTGCAGAGGCTGTGCTGGGTAATGATTCCTAATCAGAATAATTACAACAATTGCCTATGTGAGGAAAATCAAATTAAAGGCTTTAGCACCCTTGGCAGAGACCACACTTCTGGGATGTTCTCCCAGGAGCTAGAAAAGGTTAAGACGCTGCTGCTTGTGCTCCAGCCTGAGGGAGTCAGGAAGCGGTGCTTGGCCTCAGCTCATCTCCCACCCCCGCGGGCCTGGGGTTTTCAGAGACGGAGAAAGGTCCCCCTCCACTCCCTTCTCTAGCGGGAGAAGAAAAGAGAAAAAGCCTGTGGATCTCCTTAGGTGCTTTATTTATCTTTAAGAGCAACAAACCCAAAACTCAGCCCCTATATCACAGGAGAGAGCAGAGTGTCTGGGAGGATAGCAGAGCACATCTGCCTTGGAGGTAGTCCACCTGGAGGGAGCAGGGTGGTGGAGAGGGAGGAAGATCTCTTTCTTGAGCCTAGAGGCCTGTCCCATGGGAGAGAGAAATGCAGACTGAATTTCCTGGGGCTCCTCAGGATGGAACTAGGGCCAGAGAGAGAGGTCTAGGCTCACCCAGTGGCTGAGTGTGTTCCCTGTCCCAGGGAGTGTGCAGGCCCAGGCTCTGTGGCTGGTCAGACTCTTGTGGGGTTGGGAGAAGATGGGCTCTGAGGTGTCTCCCAGCCCCACTGACCCTCTTTTTTGGGTGGGGAGAGTCACCCTATGACTAAGGGGGGTCCTCAGCCTGGACTGCTCCCTCCAAGCCCAGACTCAAGGAGAAAGAGGGGACCCTTCCCTATCTCCCAGCCAAGCATCCCAGAGCGAGGCCAGGGGGGCAGGCAGCTTTTCCCTGGAGTGTCTCTGGCTGGGATCCGGGGAGGAAGATGCTTATTCTGGGCCAGCACCAAACCAGCACTGTCGAGGTTATGAAGTTTTCTCCACCGTGGCGCTGGTTGAGGGGGAGATTGTCCTTCAGAAGGCTTCCTCCTGCTGACCCCAGGTCAGCTCTGGAGCAGGATGCACAGAGGATTCTGAGTCTCACCCAGGAAGCTACTTTCTGCTATTTCAGCATACTTTGGGGGTGAAGAGGGGGAGATTCCTGGCATTGGCCTAGATAGGAAGTCTCCGGGAGGACAAGGAGACCCGACTGGGCTCTACTCTTTCC